CTTCCCTTTCAGGACAATCCTTGACCCCTTGCTCTACTTAATGTGTGTGTGTGTGTGTGTGTGTGTGTGTGTGTGTGTGTGTGTGGGTGAGTGTGTAGTGTGTATTTGCGTACCGAGGGACAGAGCTAGGTTTCGTTGCGTTACATTACTACCTGATGTGAATGTGCAATCCACTACTCGCTGTTGTTCCACCTGCATGTAAGAAATGTCATCACGTCCACGTGTTTTCGCTTCGTTCCAGTGGACCTCCATATGTTTTCACGGTGTTTGCAGACGTTTTTTTTTTTCCTCTTCTTCTTGTTCTTCATTTCTGTTGGTTTCCTTCCGCTCGCTCGTGATCAATGGACATCTCGAGTGTTGGCTCTTCTTTGTTGCTTGAGTTTCGACCTTCGACTTCGTGTGTGTGTGTGTGTGTGTGTGTGTGTGTGTGTGTGTGTGTGTGTGTGTGTGTGTGGCGTGTCGCATGACAGTGATGTTAGTGTTCCTTTTTCGCGTGCATGTATCTTCCTGTACCCGAGTGGATGTGTTCGCACACCTTGTAATAACCTTGGGAATACATCTCTTTGTTTCACACCCCTGGTGACATGAAAACGAATGCGACGACATGTTGTGTGTGTTTGGTAGGAAGCGGCCAAATGGAGACGCGTCGTCGCTCTTGTGTTTGTTATCCTCGTTTCAGCTGCCGTCTGAGCTTCATCAGCTCCTGTGCGTGTGCCCGCTTCAGCGCCGTGATTTTCTGTCGGGGTGTGAGGGCGGCGTGCGTGTGGAGAGAGTGAGGAGTGTCATGGTGAGGTAGGCTGGACTGTGCACATGTGTGTGTATGTGTGTATGTGTGTCTGTGTGTGTCTGTGTGTGTATGAAACTGTCAAACACAACAGGTCGTCCCACCTTGCGGTACATGTCTGGGTTGCCTGAGGATTGTGAGCTCAGACGAGAAAGCCTGCGAATCTTGTCTTCGTATTCTTGCCTGCCAGAGACGCCAAGATTGTGGGGGGCGGGGGAGAGGGGGGGGGGGGGTGAGTGGTGGAACTTGTGGATGATCTTCTCGAACTGCCCAATGGGGCTGTATCCTTGTATCGCACCGCTGGTGCTCGACCACAGTCCCGCTGTTGCACGTTTGCACACCAACCTCATTGCCTCTTTGTCCTGCTCCAAATTTGTGAGCCGTTGTTGAAGGTTGGCCTGCACGCGCTTCTCCGTGTCCACGCGCTCCTGCGCTTGCTTCTCCATCTCAGCACCTAAACAAGGCCAAGCAGAAGAGGGGTTGCGTTGCGATCACACAAGTGGAGGAGGTGCCACGACACAGGGCGCGGGCCAGGCAAGGTGCTAAGGCGGGCGCTGTCAATACGTTTGTTGACGTGAACGAGTCACTGAGTCAGGGCGCTCGCTGTGCAAAACAAAAGCAAAACAGTGCACGATGCTATCTTCAACTACTTGTTCCTTACGGAGTGCTCGTGCTTGTTTCTGATGCTGCGCTGCTTGATCATGTAGGCTTTCTTGCAGCTTCTTGATTTCTTTCCGGGCGTCCTGTTGCCCAGCACAATGGGGACGGATAACGGAAACACGAGCGGCGTCATTCTCGCAACAGACTGCGTCAAACAAGATGTTACAACAACGCAGGATCCCAACATCACAAGGTCGCAGGATCCCACGGGTGCACGAAGCACCACAGAACAAAACACCTCCTAACAACCACACACTGATACTCAACGCATCGGACACGCATTGCTTTCGTGGCGCACCTGAAGCTTTTCGAGAAGGTCGACGGACTTGTTCTGTGCCGCGTGCGTTGCTCGTGCCAACTCACCTTTGAGCACTGTGCACTGCTGACAGACGTCCTCATCGCCGCGCGTGTGGTGCCCTGTGCCCTCCTGGTTGGTGCCGCCCTCGCGCTTCTGGTTCTGGTGAAGCCGCAGTGCTGCTTGCAAGGCCCCGTTCTCTTCGCGAAGCTGCTGTATTTCTTCATGGTACACTGAGACTTCCATCTCCATCTGGTTCACAAGTGCGGGGAGTGCTGCAAGCAGATCTTCCGCCGCGGAATCGTCACTACCGTCATCGCCACTACCGTCATCGCCGGCATCATCACCATCATCATCACCATCACCAACAGCTTGTTCCTGGTCCGTTTCGCTGCCATGCTGTTGTTCAACACTCACGTCGCGCTTCTGCTGCCCATCCGCGAGAACACTCCCGTTCTCGTTTCCATCCGACACGTCTGCTGCCTGCAGCTGTTCTGCATCATCCCTCACATCCATGGCGCCCTCCCCACCAACACCATCACCAACACCTTTCATATCTGCGCCTGTGAGAGCAGCAAACGTTTTGGCGGGAATCTTTGCCATCACAACAGATCAATGGTATGGACGGGGTTTGTGTACGATTCGAAGTGGGCATGCGAATAAACCGTGGCTGTGCGTCAAAGAATTTCCATGTACGAACGCATGATGTGACATGATGTGGCATGAAAAATGACACAACTCACGAAATGGCGAGTCTTTAT